TGTTAGCAAACCTTCACTAACTATTTACTCAGGAAAATGAGGGAAAATATCCGGTGCAAATCATCTCTTTGGTGAAATCATGAAAACTCCTTAAAACAACATACTTAGTAGTTTTAGAAGATTTGAAACGATGCACGTCTATAATACATGTATATATTTATATTTAGATATATATTACTAGAAAAAAAAGTTTCCTCTTAATAAAAAACTGGCGCTTCGGCTCATGTTCAGAAAAAAATATTTATTAGAAAACGATGGGCAAACCATTAGCAAGCATGTACAGTCGCCATGTTCGCTTTAGCTTATAAGTCGTACTTTTTCAGCTAAAGAACATTATTTTTCTCTCGTAACAAATCAGTCAACGGTACTTTCAGTCATGGCTTATCAGCCAAGCGAACAGGACGAAAGCCAGCAGCGCATCTGGTTGTGGTCATCTCCGTTCTGCAGCCTGTTCGCTTGTTGGTTTCAGCCAGTCCAAACCAGCCAGCCAACAGTGTTTTCCTCTCACAAAAATCAAAGCCAGCCCAAACCAGCACCAGCACCAACCAGCGAACAGGCCCCTGATTTCTGAACATATGCAAGTAGCAGGTTCTCAGTTAAGGCCGTGTTTAGTTGGGTGAAATTTGGGAATTTGGCTACTGTAGCACTTTCATTTTTTATTTGGCAATTAATGTTCAATCATAAACTAATTAGGCTCAAAACGTTCGTCTCGCGATTTTCAACCAAACTGTGCAATTAGTTTTTTTTGTCTACATTTAATGCTCCATGCACGTATCGCAAAATTTGATGTAATAACTACTGTAGCACTTTTTGAAAAACTTTTTTAAACTAAACGTGGCCTAATTAGCTGTTGCATTGGAAACCAGCAACCGCCGCCGCCGTTGGCTCTTGGCCCCGACCACAGTGCAGTGCAGAGAGACTCCGCAGTTAACAGCAGCCTCGCCATCAGTAACCACGGATGGGAGCAGCTAGATAGCTAGCACAGTGACTGGAGAAAGCTCAAGCTTCAACTCGACACCGTACCTTTTGAACGGATCGGAGCTGCATCTAGTTAAGTGTTAACTGTGATAGGAGCATCGCTGTCTCACCCCCGCGGGAGCTCTGTTATCGGCTCATCTCGTCCAAGTGGTCCTTTTCAAGTATCTGCTTGTATCTACCTGCAGCAAGGAGAACAGGAACCACTGCACGCCTCCTGCTCGTATCATAGAGACACACTGCACGGTCCTCTGATCTCGACCTCATCTTATCCCTAGGGACTAGGATCAGGGCAACTCGCTGGCCCCTTGGCGCCAACATGATTCCTATCTAGGTCAAATCACACGTTACTATGGAAATAATCTTAGGAGGCAGTTAGGAACTGATTTTCAGTTGTCTTGCCAACTGCTTTCTAGAAACTGTCCATTTTCAGTGACAGGTTTCCAAACACCTATGGTAATTGATCACTAGAGGTAGGCCAAAGTCGTCTTAGGAAATCGATCCCTACAATAGGCCATTAATTTTTAGAGATAGTTGGCAAAGCCATCTATCACTGAAAATCTATTTCAAGAGGCGGTTCGGTTGCTTCCCCCTCCCCTCTGGTGTATCTTTACAGGCGGTTTTTTATGGTGCGCTTCAAGAAAAAATAGAAACGTCTCTAAACATTGTTTCTGTAGCAGTGAAGACAATGTCATTTTAAGAAACCTCGGTCAGATCACCTCTTGTCAAAACAAATACATACATATAAAAATATTTAGATGCTTGGTCAAGATCTTAACCGTGTATCTTCTATCATTTCGACAAATATTGCTGGAGGACAGGTTCTCAGATTGCTTTCATATGACGGTGTCCAATGCACCACTCCTTGTGAATGAATGTGCATAGCTAGAGTCGATGATGTTATATATGTAAACTGCAACTAGACCATAGTGCTGCCATTTATCTCCTACAACTAAAAAAAATAAAGTGTTGATATTTTTTTTGGTGCGACATTTGTTTTGGTTCATCCGTCTGCCCACGCCTGCGATCCCACGACATCTCCCGCATGCTGCGTCCTTTGGTGCGATTCTCCTTGATTGAATATTGCCTGTTATGTGATAGAGGAATCACGGCAAAATAGAAAGTAGAAAATTATTGTGCTATCCAAATACACATTGCATATTTGCATGCACTAGGGATGAAAATGGTACGGATATTTTCCAACCGTATTTGAGACCGAATCCGTTTAAAGGGGTTCAGATATGTTCGTATCCGAGTCCGGATATTCAACATCCGATATCGTATCCGTATCCGAATACTCAAATCGCATATTTATGATGTCGATATGGTTGACACTATCCGTATTCGAATCCGAATCTGGACAGAAATATGAAAACAAATGTAATATCAGTGATATCCGTTCGTATCCGATCCGTTTTCATCCCTAGCATGTACCAGTATACATGGCAACGAGCAAAAGGAAAGAAAATTAACACAGAAGGAAAGAGAATTAAGACAAAAGAAATCTCTTTGCATTTCTGAGAACCTTGTCAAATCTGCCTACATTTAATTACTCCCCCTCTTTGTATTTGCAAAATGGACAGCTTTTTACTCCTTTCATTTGGTTTCATGCTCACGTGTTCCATCGTCCTCGCTTGCTGTTTCTTGCTGAAATTGCCCTTAGGTCTGTTCATTTTGAATCCTTTCCCCATATTCTAATTAAATTACAAAATTTTGAATTAGGATACGAGGTAAGACATGCAAACAGATATTTCAAAACTACCTGTAGAGTCCAAAGAACTTAATAAATAAATTCTTTTGGAGGCAATGCAAATTCTCTCTAATATTTTATTTGGTGTAGTTAGTGTTATCATAGTACCCGCATGTATTCATGGGAAATAAATCGTGGATACTTTTTGGTGTGACATTTCAACATGGGTCCATCGTCCTGCCAATATCCTTGAGGCAGATCACATAAAGGATGAGAGTCCCTCTATAAGATTGCTCATAAGAGACTCAAACTTATATTTGATCACGGTAATGTTGAATTGCTTTGCATCAAAAGCATCGGCAATGATAAACGGGAACATAGGTTTTAGTATGCATAGTGGAAGAAAACTCAACCTTGGCCTTCTTAGCAGCTTTTCTGAGCCTTTGCAGTGCCAACTTGTCCTTACTCAAATAGTCGAGAGGTGCACTATAAAATTATGCACAACTAAAAAAAGTGTCACCATTGGTTGCCTTGACTTGAAAAATGTGTCGAAATTAAGAATTACAACACCTAATTCAACATCTTGAAACAGACACTCAAGTGGATACCTTATTCTACAATATATGTCTGTGTGGAATAGTTCTAAAGCCACACATATTTATACGGTGAGTATAACATACTTTGTTTAAAAATTTTATGAGAGATTTTTTAAGACACGTAGTATTATCCATGTGACACGCACTAATATTTACATATATATTTGAACCTGTGTGTACAGGATTATATAGAGATACAGCGAAACTTATTCATGGATTTATTGGCGCACGAAAGAAATAGATATTGGAGAATTCTTTCTGGCGATATAAAATGTTATCTTAGATATATCACGAAAAAGTCTATACAGTAGAGTTTGTGAGCCTGCGACGCCGCGCTCTCCGTGACTCTGTTAATTTCATGAACTTTGCTTTTTGAATTAAATGTCATTTTAACGTCGGTATTTAATTTAACAGTATTGTTATCTTATCGTGCGATCCGTGTGTTTTTAGTACAAAAGATTTAGTTGTCCCATAGCAATGCACGGACACACTACATAGTCAAGTATTTAAGTTAGGGTCTGTTTGGAAGGACTTCTTCCCTAGACAGTCAGTATAATATGTTAAGGTTTGTTTCATGTTTTACTTAAATGAAAGGTACTTTCTTTGTCCGTTTCAAATTACATATCGTTTTAGCTTTGTCCTAAATTAAACTTCTCTAATTTTCATCAAGTTTAGAGAAAAATACAACAACATCTATAATATCAAGTTAGTTTCATCATATACACTATGAATACCTTTAATTTGTTTTCTATATAGATGATAATATACTCTGTAAATTCAATCAAATTGGAAAAGTTTGAATCAGAATAAAGTTAAACAATTTGCAACTTTGAAATAGAGAGATAAAGTTAAAACGAGTTACAATTTAATTAGCTATTTTTATTACTATCTTGTTTAACGTAAGTATGACTATGACACCTTGTCTTCTTTTCTTGTCACATCAAGTTATCATCAGAATATAGTGGGTGAAAGATACGTGCTTCCAATAAAATTTAGACAATTAAAAATGATTTGAGAAAACACGTTGATCAATCGAGTTTTCTTTTGGAGGCAACGCAATTTTTGGAGCTAGTAGGAACAAAACCAAGCATATATCTCTTTGTCGACCGAAATTTTTATGATTCGAGATAGAAACCATCGTTCGAGAGACCATTTTTTTCCTTTTGTTGCAATGATCTTATCTAGTATCATTTATATAAGTAGTGTCTTTGTATATTGTTGCATCAACAAAACATGTCTACATGTTGTTGCCCCTTGCTTGTTTGACTATCTTGTTCTTATTTATTACTGTATATTCTGCTAAGGACCTGGCCAGTTTAATTAATTAACACTAATAATAATCAACAAAACAAACAATGCAGCATTTATGACGTTGAGGAACTCCTAGAATAATCTGATCCCCCTCCAAACATTGTTCGTTCGTTCACCCCTAGACTAGCCTGGGTTTCAATTCTGAGGACCCAAACGGGCCGTTACCCAAACAAAAAAGAATTGCGACTGTTTCCGGCCCAACAGGCCACATGATTGAGCCTGGCACCCACCACGGCCCATTCAAGTCCTAACCCTAGCACACCGCACCGCCGCCACGCGGGGGAGGGGGAGCAGGAGCATCCACGAGAGGAGATCGAAGGAGATTCCCATTCGCCCCCATCCGTTCCTCCTCTCACCAGAAGCGAAGCCGGAGGAAGCGGAGGAGGGAGAGAGGAGATCGCGAGCAGCCGGAGCCGGAACCCGAGAAGATGAAGACGTTCGACCCGTGGCCGGTCTTCTTCCGCCGGGAGTGGAGGCGCAACTGGCCCTTCCTCGCGGGGTTCGCCATCACCGGCTTCCTCATCACCAAGATGACGGCCAACTTCACCGAGGAGGACCTCAAGAACTCCAAGTTCGTCCAGGAGCACAAGAGGCACTGAACAACCAGGTGAGCCCCCCCGATCCGTCCGCTTCTAGATCTCGGACCCCCTCTGGTTCACGCTTGTGTGCGATGCGGATGACGCTAGTGGATGCGGGGCGATGTTTCCGCGATCTGTTCTGGGGATCGATGCCACTGCGGCTAGTGACGCGACGCGATTTTTTTTTAATTTTTTTTGGGTGGGGGGTGGGGGTGTCTTATAGCCTAGCCTAGCCTGCTGATCGATCATAACACCTTTGATTGATGCCTGTGCTGTTAGAATTTTCATAACACCTTTGATTGATGCCTGTGCTGTTAGAATTTGCTGATTGGAGTAGCACCGATGTTTCAGATTTCCATCATGCGGGAGTTAGTTTCATTTCCCAACAGCTCTTAAGTTCTCATTTCTGATGGCCTTGCTAGAACTTGTCCATTAACGATGTTATTACCACATTAGTGTATTTTGGGAACAGTAATATATGGCACCGGTGCTAGATTACACCGGCAGAGGGATGGTCTAGGGTCAATGTGGCTTCAATCCAGTGGTTATGCAACCTGGCATCATTGCTGACGTGCTGTAGATCTGTTTTCCGTATATTTTATACACTGATGCTCCCTTCAATGTTTTTAACTGTCTCCTAGAGCAAAGTTTGATGGGTTTAGTCTTTGTTTTGATGGCTTGTTTTCGTTTATGTTGGAAAGCTAAAATTCAACCAGTACATACATTCGGGTGGCATTGACCCAAACACCTTATTAGCCGTGCCTGCTTATTAGTACCAGCTAGTAGCCCGTGTGTGGACATTAGTCGGATCAAACTTGTTAGCAAAGTAGGAAACACCTGCAGTGGTACTGGTAGATAAATGGCTAACTTTGGTTGTTGATGTCCTTGATGACTTGTGGAGGATTAATCAGTTGTCCACGGTAGTTTCTTTGTGATTTTGTTAACATGATAAGCTATCTATAAAAAGGTTTATTTTAATTGTGGAACCTATAAGAGGATCTCTACAGGATGCCTCTGCAGAACCCCAACCATGGTTAGCAACTGAAGCCTTACCTAAATTATCTGTGATCCTAGCTAATTTTCTGTTATGTTGCCATGCCTGAATTTCATAAATGAAAGACTTCTTGTGGCAAAGAAGGTGTGAAGGTGGACTGTGTCCTTTAGATTTAACTGTATCTAACCGCACATGGATTGTTGGGTGTGCTCATGAGTAGAATTAAACTCTTAATATGTATATGAACATTGGCATTAGATGGAGTTAATTGTTTGTTGAGGTTCTTGAGGACATGTGGACGATCTAAGTCATTGCCCGTATGCTATTTTAGTCATGCTGTGCATCTCCAACAGCTCTCCTTTCCCTTAACCCCTAAAATTGGTTATATGATAATCCCCTTTAACACAGGGGAATTACAGGATGGCTGCTCCAGCAGTTCCCCTATTTTCTTTATCGTTTTTTTTTTCTTTCCATTTCTCCTTCCCTTTGCATCTGCATTACCCATTCAAACTCTATTTAAACATCATAATAATTCAAATTCATGCCATACACAATTCGCGAATATTTCAAATCCATAGTTTATTAGTGAAGCATACTTGTGTGATATATAATATAAAGCAGGCAGAATTTAGGAACACAAGCCATGTTCAAAACAGTTGTAAGATAATCCAAAACTAAAACAAACATGTTGCACTATACAGGAAGAACTAACTGCTAGAAGTAGAAAGCTATCCTGCTCACTTCGAGTAAACCACATTCATCATAAGCTATCCCACTTTATTTCCCAGTCAGACCTAGAAATGTCTCTGTAGCTTTTCTCTACTGAAAAAACAATCTTCATCACAGAGGATATTTATCACAAATGGATCATACTACTGAAGCTAGGGGAGGTGAGAATTGGACAGGAGCATGTCAACCTCTGCGTTCTGAAAAGATGCACAAAACAGGTGTGTGTGTGTGTGTAGGGGGAGGGGGGGTTGGGGGGAGCTCATTGACGACTTGCTACTGCTGGCGAGGGAGCCGGATGTTGCCCACGGCATGGAGGGTGGTGGCGAGCGGCTGGGCAGAAGTGCATGTGGCAGAGGCCTCGGTCATGTCAGAGAGGGGTGGGAGGTGAAAAGATAGGAAAGGGAGAGGGGCGGTGTCCACTTTCTTTAGACTTAGGGCACGACCAATGGAGGCATACAGTATCATTAAATAGTTGATGTCCATGTAGATGAAGAAGGCTCGAGGCTGTTAAACTTCCAATGCAGGTCAATACATCTATTTTATTGAAACGGTCCCACCACTCTCTCTGCTCCTTCTGGTCCCCTCTCTCTCTACCACGGAGATTGTCTTCGTTTCTGCAAAAGCGCAGGACTCTGGTTGGCTCCAAGCTTACAATGCGCACTCAAGCAGTGGCTTGTGCTTTATGTCAGGTGAAGCTGTCACTCCCTCTACAGGGTAATCTGACAACCTTCAAAGCCACTGCTTGAGCTGATCTGGATGCATAACACCGATGTGGACTCTTGGACTACCAGCCACGCTGTAGTGTTGGGCGTGGCCTTAGGTGACAGGGAGGGGAATAAAGCTCTATCTGACCATATCTGACACCTTATTAGTATCTGCTCGTAGCACATGTGTAAACCTTGTCAGAATCAAACTTGTTATCAAAGTAGCAAACAACTAGATAAAAGGGTACTTTGGCTGTTGATATCCTTGAGGACATGTGGAGGATTAAGCACTTTTCCATGTTAGGGGGTGTTTGGATCCAGGGACTCACATCGGACATTCGGATGCTAATTAGGAGGACTAAACATGAACTGATTATAAAACTAATTGCATAGATGGAGACTAATTTGCTAGACAAATTTATTAAAGCCTAATTAATCCATCATTAGCACATGTTTATTGTAGCACCACATTATCAAATCATAGACTAATTAGGCTTAATAGATTCGTCTCGCAAATTAGTCTCCATTTGTGCAATTAGTAAATTTGTAATTAGTCTATGTTTAATACTCCAAATTAGTGTCCAAACATCCGATGTGACAGGGACTAAAGTTTAGGAGGGGTACTACTGTAAATTTAAAGCCATGCTTCTGCCACCATCAGGTGGGCATGAAGAGGGCCAGCTTGCCGGTGTTGAACTCCAAGTTGTAGAACGGGAAGCCCAGCATGCTATCCGCGTTGATGTTCTTGTCACCAGTTGTTTGTGATTTTGTTCACATGTTAAGCAATCAATGATTTATGGTAAAAATATATTAAAAAGGTTTCTTGTAATTATGGAACTGGAACCTATGAGTAAGATCTGCAGGATTCCTTGCAAAGTCTCAACCATGGTCAGCAACTGAAGCCTTACCGTTTCTGTCTTTTTTTTTATGTTGGGATGCTAGAATTTCACAAGTGAGAAAAACTTCTTGTGGTGGAAGGTGGACTGTGCCCTTTAGATGAAATTACTGTATCTAGCCACACACGGATTGTTTGGGTTTGAGATATTAGCTCATGGGTAGCATTAAGCTCTTCGTATGTGAAGTTAATTTACTATTGAGGTTCTTTATAGGACGTGGATGATCTAAGCCATTGCCGCTGTTTGTCATGTTACTTGTCAAAAAGTCTAGACGTGTCTGTATGGAACCTCTTTTTGTTTGAAAATCATTAAAATATCCAATGAGATTATCTGTGTTTGCTTTTTGACATTTTCTGTTATGCTGACATGCTAGATAAGAATTTGACTAGTGAAACAATTCCTGGTCAGTCGTTGACATCACACTGCTTTCATCCTTAAATCTTTACAGTTCCCATATCATAAGATTTCAGTACCTTTAGAAACCTAGGGAAACTATCTTTGTCTATAGTCTTCCTGAAAAATGGTAGCTCCTTTTCTTTCCCATCAAAATGTTCCCTAGGAATCTTAACCTATTAAAATCTGTAACTACTGCTTTAGCTTGTTCCCTAGGAACTCAAACCGTAGCAGATTCTAGTAGTGCTGGAAGGATTTCCTATGCGTATCAGTTATCACTGCTAAAAGCCATACTATAGTTTTGTAAAATTGTAGCCCCTTGTGCATTTGGGACTCCATACCCTATAGTTTTGTAAAATTGTAGCATTTAACGCTTACATTCCCTTGCAGGTGGAGTTGTCCGAATTGCCTGTGTGGACAGCCAGTTGTGTTATGCTATTTGAATGAAAAGTTAGCCCCCACTTTTTCGTTTGTTCTTTTTTTTTATCTAAATGCGTGCACTCTATGCTCCATTTGTAATGTAATAAGAGGCGACTGAATTGATCCAACAGCCATCAGCTTCTGATTAAGATACGTCAAGTTTGATCCGGTTTGCTGACCCTGATATGAGGGGCATCGATTTTTTTTTTATATGCATGCAACAAATGAATATATCCATGTGTGGGTTTTTTTTTTGGATGTTGGATTGCATCTAATCCTGTTGAATTGGGAGCGAAAATGAAGATTTTGCAAAATGATTGGAGCCTTTATGAAAACGAGGGGTGGAGATCGGAGAGTAGAGCAGGGACTTCGACCGTTCTATTTTGGGCCGCAAGAACGTGAGGGGCGTTTTATGTCTAGGATCTCAGGCATGATAAGCTGCATGGCTTGGTCCGTTTGTGAAGGCATTCACTACTGCCTACTGGTCACTATCCAAACGTAGGTGCTTCTTTCTTCCATCGACTATGCAACTGAAACATGGCAGTTGAGGAGCTGTCCCCACCCAACATCTTCCTAAAATTGATCTCCCATCCATTCGTGTTAAATGCTGCACGCGTAGAGCCTGCTAGTGCTAGTAGATGAGAGGGTTGAGAGTTGTCTACATAAGTTAATCCTCCCACCCAAAACATCCTCATGTCCTTCTAAGCTTCTCCAGGAAGGTCAGTTCATCACCATCACAAGGACAAGCCTCCAAGTAATCTCATAGGCAACCTTCATGTAGTGGTGCATCTGCTAATTCCTTAGGCACTGGCACATGAACAACTGTATCCATGTCCTAGCTAAACACTACCACATGCGAGATATTCATGCATGTAGTGTTTCATT